TTTGGTGCACTTTTTATTGTTCAGGGGTAAACCGTGCAATTTCTGAAGAATTCAGGGATATTTGGTATACTTTTTAATGTTCGGGGGTAAACCATGCAATTTTCGAAGAATTTGGGGGTAAACGGTGCACTTTTCCCTTTTTAAAATTAAATTGTTGGTTTAGCTAAACTTATCATAACTAATTTGTATGGAACTCATTTAAGGCAAATTATATGAAACATTAGCTTCATTTGATCAAATTAGACTCTTTCTATGGGACAAAAGTTTGCAAGTGTGGAATATTACTCTACCTCTCCGTCCCGAAATGTAGGCTATTTTGAAAATTTGTGTCAAACTTTGACTATTAATTTCTCTTAACTAACAAAGTCAAAAAATGATACTCCGTAATATTTGTTTTGTTTTATTTACGATGAAAAGTAGTTTTGAATCTGTTAAGTTTATAATTTTGTTCTCCCTCTTTCCTATAAAAAAATTGTCTATGTTTGCCTTCATGGAGTTTAAGAAAGAATCAATAAGTGAAAAGTGTGGTAAAAATTTATGCAGAGAGATAAGTGGTGTGAACCACATGAACATTTTCTTCAAATAAAATAAGACACTTATTTGGGAGGAACAAAAACGGAAAGTGAAGCAATTATTAAGGGACGGAGAAAGTACTATGCATTTCAAGAGAAATTAATGGTCAAAGTTTGGCACCGCTTTTCATAAAGGCTCAACATTTTGGAAAAGAAGATGTATGATATCAGGACTCTAGCTGGTAGCGCTAGCAAGCAAAGACATCAATATAAAAAGAAGATTTGTATTAATTCTAATATGTGAAACTGATACCAGATAGAGAAAAGGCAAATAGCACATCATTATGGGGGTGTTTAGCAAGGTTCTTTTTAGGGAACTTCCCAGTAGTAGTACTTTTATATGCAAATGGGTAGCAAAACAACTATTTGAAATGTTTGGTGGATAGCTTATTCAGACAAGTTTTTTTGTTCTAACAAGCTAGGTTAGAAAAAAGTGTCTTCAGTGCTTCAAGCTTTGGATGAAGATAAAATGGGCTGACGTTGGGCTAGAAGTGTGTCAGCAAGGTACCTATATTGCGGTCCTGCGCTCTTTGCCCTCCCTTCCGATAAAAAAATAAGTTTGTCTTTAAAGTTTTTGGGAGAACTCTTTCTGTCTACAACTTTTTACATTTAAAACCTCAAAGAGCTGACACAAACAACTCATTTTACCAAACATTCTTTCTTAAACAACTATAACGTTTTTTCTTGAACAACTATAACATATAACAGACACAAATATCTACCCAAACAGTAAGCATAACCATCTCACAGGTAACAAATGTATGCCAAACACGGCCTATATAGGTGTAAAAGATTCTAGGGAGCTGCAGTGAATGTGTGGTAAAGTGAGCAAGAAAGGTGCTGTGAATATACTGTAAAGCAAAATAAGAAGGTATTTTAATTTGTGATAGTTGGACACCATATATTTCCCCAAGTTTAAGTATAACTCTTTTTCGGAGACAAAAAGTAGTGTTTTGGCATTTCAATGTGACATGCAAAAGCAGAATGAAGGGACATAATTCTTCAAAATTCCAATACATTCATAAATCCTAATGATCTCACAAAACTTAGTTGTTGAACTATATCAAATGTTGAAGAATCATCAGCAACCAAACCACAAAAGAGGATACTTCATTGTATTATTACCGTGATCTTGTACTCCTTATCGTCTAAGTGGGTCTTGGTATACATCTCAAAACTCTAATTATCTTTAAACTGGTAATACACTCCAGCCTTACCAAATAAAATCTCTTGACAGCTTGCCCATAGAAATGGATCAGGCAGAAAACTAATACATGAAATCTAAACACCGCATAAGAATTTTAAAAAGAGATTAACTTGGGATAATGGTTTAACTCCCAACAAAGTTACCTACAAGTCTCCAAATTTAACTCCCAATAAATTTACTTGTACTGCATTGCAACTACAAAGTTGCTAATAATACCCAATAAAAATTTATTGTTCCTTTTCAAAGTTCTTAGTGTAGACAGAATCAACGAATAAATAGACTAGTTTCATGTTGCTTCGTGATCAAATTCAATAACTTACTAAATCAATAAATGAGATAGAAATGTAATTTGGTAATATTTCCTGATAAAGCAAGTTCACTCCATTTCTCTCATGGTGCTTTGTGCAACAGGCTACCTTCTTAGTGTTTCAGTTTCATACTTTCATCGATTATTCAAACACATTATATCTAACATCACAGCCACATTTCAGGATTAACATCAAACTTGGAATAATGCGTAAACACGGAGTATACTAATACAGATTTCAAGTACCTATCAAGAGGGGCCATCTCAAAGGCTTTTCGGGGACTTCTTTTGTCAAATACCTAAACCTCTCCGGCATGGAGCTCTGTCCGGGGGACTCCATGTCAACTTCATCCGCCTCCCTCTCTATCCCACCTCCGTCATTCTCAGCTCTAGACAAAAACCCATTATTCCTGACCGCTGGATATCCAAAGTTCTCTAAAAGAACCCTATGAAATTTGTGAGCTTCTCTTAATCTCAGTGTGCTTGCTCGAGGATGTGAAGAGCCAGAAGGAGCTATTGAATTGGCACGAACCCGATCGAGAGGTGGGGAATGTGAGGAGAGCCGTGTGGCTTGTTTGTGAAATGTGTTGGGAGAACGGAGTGCTGAGACGGAAATAGACATGGCTTAGGTAAATTTGAGAGGTTGTAGGAGAACAGGGAGATGGGGTTTCTAGAAATCCCCCATTTCCTAGGGTCCGAACCGATTTAAATATCTTTCCCTTCCAAGTTTTTATTATATACGGAGTATGGAGTATAGTTTTTGACCAAGGTTCCCATGACATTGGGTTTCAATGTCATGGGAACTCCACCCATAGTTTTTTCTAATTTTTTTATGTTTATATTTTATTTCTCTATTGATATTTCAAAGTATAAAACATTTTTATATATAAAATAAATGTGTAGAAACATGAAAACATATGACATATAAAAGTATATGCATATGTGTGCTGTGTATATCTTTTTATCATATGAAGCTATAGTAGAATATCATAAATCATGAAAACAAAGAAAATAATTATCTCATAACAAATTATAGTTGATTTAATAATAGTTTGACTTTAATGTAATTTAAAATTAAAGCATTCTTTAATTTGATTTAAAAAATTAGAAACAGATGTAGTTATGATTTTGATTTTTAGTATCCGTCAATATCCATATCCAAATTTGATATCCGACAAAAATAAACGGATACGGATTTAGTAATGGCACATCCGATCCGATTAATATCTGTTTACACCCCTAATGACTTAAATATTTTGATTTAAGAGAAGAGAATGATATTTATATTTTGATTTTAGAACTAAAATTAGCATGCAATGCTTTTAATCATTATTTTGAATACAATTTTGTTTCATTGTCTTTATATAAACTGTAAGTTTAATATATTATTTTTTTCACTATCTCAAAATACTGGTCGTGCAACACACGGATTAGAGATTTAGTGTTATCAATAGCACTTAAGAGTTAAAATACAAGAGGACAATGCCTTAATGTACACAAAAAATTATCAAAATCTATAGTTGTACTATGTACATAAAAAGTAAAGGTAACCCCATAATTTTGATACCACTTGTGACCTCATTCTTTGTACCTACACAAACACAATAACCGCCGGCGCCTCCCCTAAAGTTATTATTTGTGCTTATTTGTGCAAATCAGTGACAATGTTAAAATTGTGGCATTACCATAGCAGAATCCCCCCGTACAAATACTTCCTCCATCCAGATTTAATATTCATTTTTACTTTTCTTTGCCAAAGTTTTTAAACTTTGACTTTTGGTATACGGAAAAATATATCGTATTTCGATATAAATATAATATCAATTAATTTTAAAATAATAAAATTTTATAAAAAATATATATAACTATCTATATTAATTGTACATTCGAGAGACAAATTATATGGCATAATCGAATGTAACTTCTTATCTGGTACATCATGACAAACTTGTAATTAAAAAATGTTTCAGAATGAACACTGCGTTATTTTAAAATGAATATTGTTTCAGAATAAATACTATATTGTTTCAAAATAAACACAATGCTGAGCATGTATTAATTAAAACGAATAAAACAGTTAAAAATGGATATTCTATTGATTCCAACTGAACATTCTTTTCATTCAAAATGAACATTCATCAAATGTACTCAACTCTACGCATAATTGGGCGCACAATATACTCTCTACATTAAAGACCATATAATATAAAAAGTTAAAGGTGAGACGTGTATAGTCCATGATTACAGAGAATGTATACCTTGCACCTGGCTGTACGTAGAACTAGATACACTCAGCGGATATAGAATCAATAGAATGTTTATTTTGAATCAACAAAATATTTATTTTTAATTGTTATATACTTTGGAGCCTACTCAGCAAAGTGTTCATTTCGAAACAACAACGTAGTGTTTATTCTAAAACGATGCAGACCTCATTTGACATTAGCGTTAGAGATTAGCATTAGCGTTTTGAAAATGCTATCCAACGATAGCCTTTAACGTTAACGTTTCAGAATTAATCTGCATCATTAAAATTTTATCCAAAACGCTAATGCTGATAAAAAATGTTGTTCCCGAACAAGGCCGTAGTGCTTATTTTAAAACAACGTAGTATAATGTTCATCATAAAACCATCTAAATTCATTCTCAAATATTATACTCCGTATTACTCCCTTCATCTCTGAGTGTTTGTCCACTTTCATTTTTACACACCATCCAATACACTTCTTTAATCCATTTTATCTTGTAATTTGTATATTAAAAAATTATAAAAATTATATATTAATAATCTATATGTTAAGACGATTCAAACAAGATCACACATGACGAAATATTTTTTAATTAGAAATTGCCACTATTACAAAACTCCTAACTAATCCTCCTCACAAAAGATTCTTAAAAATGTAACAATAGAGCCGCCATAGATGAGATTTCCAAAGCCTATGATCTCCGATCATCATCCCCAAGCTTCAGACTGCCTGATTACAGCTGATGCCGAGAAGAATCTCAACAATTTCTTCGTCATTATCCTCCGACCATTTCGCCTTCAAATGGGCCAAACAATTTTTCCTCAGCGGCGGCAATTCTCCGCCTGTATGGGCAACTCTGGTGGGAGGGTTCTTCTTAGTTCTCTCTCTCACCCTATCTACTTTCCTCATTTTCGAACACCTCTCTGCTTACAAAAAGCCCGAGGTTCAGTGTTTGGTGAACAATAATTGCATTTCCAATAAGATTTGTCCTTAATTTCTTCATGACTTTGGTGTTCTTGTTTTTTGGGATGTGTTTGTTTTTCCGGTGACAGGAGCAGAAGTTTTTGATCGGGGTTCTTTTGATGGTTCCATGCTACGCTGTTGAATCAGTGAGTTTTTCAAGCCTTGTTTTTGTTGCCTAATAAATTTGCAGCTGATTGAAATATTTGAAGGCAATGTTAAAATGTCAGTCCAAGGGTGAGGATATATGCCAACCTGTTGTTAGGATAGTATGTAGCTCCAGTTATCTCATCATAAATTTCCTCTATCAGGCTATTGACAATTTGACATGTAGCTCTAGTTACAGATTTGAAGTCTGGGGTGTACATGATTTTATTGAAAAACCGAAATCTTTGTGGGATTATGTGTTGCTTCTAAAATATCTGCTTTTTTTTTGACTCAAAAATATCTGCTTATTCTTCATTGCATACATGCACCCTTTTATGTTTTTTGGATGCTTTAGGTATTTTTCGAGTGACTAGTATAAGTCGTGCATGGTGGTCTGTATGTCATAATACATGGAGTTATGGGACTCAGTTTGTTTCCTGATTATATGTGATCAGGTAGAAATAATATGAACTGGTAAGTAAGTTAAGTAACACAAGAGCTTACTATAGATACAAAGTTTACATGTCATCAATAAATATTCGTGATGAATTTGGACATGATAATAAAAAGCAGTTTGAGTAATGTAAAGTGGAAGAGAAATCTAACAACTGTCAAGCAAAATAACCACGGAAACAAATCTTAGATGTGCTCCGAACTTCAAAACCAGGGACTCCTATTTTTGGTCACTTATGATCGAACTATGCTTTCCTTGAAATAAGTGGGACCATTATCATCTACCTGTGCAACATCAAGTTCCTACATATATTAAAACTTCACAAAATGAGAGTGAGAGCTGTATTGGATTGCACTTTACACTTAACTGTAAAGATAACAGCAACCAAGGGATATTACATAGCTCAAGAAATTTGTTTAAAGCCACTCAGCAACAACAGTTACAGGGATTTCTGATGTTTGAGGAATGATGACCATATTTTTAGAGTTCAACACCGAACTTGTATTAAACATCCAATAATAGGATGAAAGCCGCTGCATATATATTCTTGTGAAAATAAAAAAAATGAATTTCTTCCAATTACAATACCAAGGCATGGTCATTCTATAAGCGTATAAGACATCATCATTAATGTTAATTCCCAAAATAAGAACTAGGTCACAAATACAGAGTATATACAAGTATATTAAAGTATTAAACTTATGATGCAAAGCGAAGTAGCTTATCGATGGGACTATGGAGTCAACCTAAGGCATAGCATTTAACACAAAAGCTCCGTCATAGTCGAGCTACTTAGTCTAGTTCAACTATATGCATCTAGCATCTATTGCTTATAATTGATGCCAAGTAGGTTTTTTTTGGGGGGGGGAGTGCAATGGGAGTACTATAGACATATTGTCCAAGTCTTCCAACAAAGTCTAATTAATAAATTGTGGGAATGAGAGAAGGGGAGAACATTGCAAAAACTTAGAAAATCAAAATTTAAAACCTGTTTGCTTCATACCAGCATATTTGTAAGGAGACTGAATGAGCTCATTGATTCCCTATCCAAGTGCCTGACTCATACTTTTCATAAGCATGATAATCCATTGCCCTTGTTGTCTTGACTAGAGAAAGATACTGATGAACTAATTAAGAGGCACAACCCTTAAACGCTTAAACCCTTTCTAACCTCTCTCAAACAAAAACGGCTAGGCTTCTGAATTCTCCATCACCACAGTTCTTCTCTTAATACTCAATCAATACTGTCCTAATTGTTTCTCTACAAAAAATAGCTTTGTTTTCTTCTTCATCTATCACACCACATGTGACTTTCGTTCTCCTACTTGACTGGACCTATGTATTCATCACTGAATTCTTCTTCGTAGTTGTTTGCAACATCCCTTCATAAAAAAAACAGTTGTGGAGTACTCAGTTATGGATAAGCTTATATTCAGGGGTTTCACAGAGTAACTCCTAGAACCATTGATTTGGAAATAATAAATCCAAAGTCTGATGGTTCTGTTCAGAGATACAAAGCGGAGACGGAAATCTCTCCCTCAAACCTCAATTGACCCCAATAAGAAGCCATATGGCTTGTATGCGGCGCTGATTGACCCTCAATGTCTTGTAGCTGCTCAGACGTGCCTTAAGGGTCTCAAAAGATATTCTGTTATTTATGGGGACTCTTGAGCGGACATAAGTGTATCACTAGGTTTGATCGCCTATGGCCAAAAGCATCTCATAAACTTCAATTAAACCATTAATCCTGAGACCAGAGATTTCATGTGCAGAATGAGGCACGAGATAAGAAGGAAACAATGAATTTGTATTTGTAGAAAAATAGAGTGATATGGTTTCTAAATTATTAACCATGAAACAAAGACATAATTTTCCTAAAGTTTATTTTTTTCATTTTGTGCTGTAAAAGTACGAGTAATATGTTATTTGTAGGAAAAATATTATTAAGATGGATATGTGGCATTTACACAAATATTATTTGTATGGACAAAAAAATAAGTTATACCCCGACCCCAGAGTCCCCCAGTACCGGCCCGGACAGTAGGCTGGGAGGAGTTGAATTGAGCTATAATAATGGATTAATGGTCAAGAGAGAGTGTTATTTGTCCCCGATACTTGCAAGAACCCCACGCTTAGCATGGTCATCCTTTTTTGCAGTTGCCAGGATTCGAACCCGGGTTTACCCCTGTGGCATTGCCCTCTTGACCAGTTGAGCTACGCCCCAGGCATTTGTATGGACAACAAAGATTTTTAGAGAGAGGCAAAGTCATACGGAGTACTTATTTTGTGTGCAAAGAAGATCTTTGTTAACTTGTACAAAAATGAACTGTTGGGAAAAAGATAAAAATCTAGTAATGATTCATAATGAATGTATCTCATGGAATGTATCTGAACTTTTGCTGTTGGAATTTAGAAGCCCTTCACAGAAAAAATGTGTTGCCTTTTTATCTTCCAATTTCTTGCCTCTAAAATTTTTTCTGTTCCTTAAATTCGATGCAATGCTGGGAACAGTTTGATTATTAATATGTGTTTTGGCTGGAAATTTCGTAGAAGTATTAATGTTAAGGCTTTACAACTTACTTTGGTGGATATTTTTAAACTCCCATGTTATGATACACTAATGTGGTATTCTTGCTCAGTTTGTGTCCTTGATAAATCCAGCAATCAGTGTTTACCTTGAGATCTTGCGCGATGGCTACGAGTCCTTTGCTATGTATTGCTTTGGGAGATATCTTATTGCCTGCTTAGGTACATATGTGTTACGGAGTACATTTTGTATTTGATTTAATGTTTTACATTTTAGCATGGCATCCACTTAGTTTTAGGTCTAGCAGAGTAGGGGATGTGCACTATTGATGAATGGCGTGTACAAATTTAATTTGTAAAAGGCTACTGCACTTGGAAGGTGGAAGTATACAGCATATTTCTTTATTCATTTTCATTACTATCTATCAATTTCCAATGTAGGTGGTGAAGATAGAACTATTAGATTTATGCAGAGAGAAGGGCGTGCAGGTTCAAAGGCACCCCTACTAGGTCATGGTCATGAGAAAGGAACTATAAAGCATCCTTTTCCAATGAACATTTTTTTCAAGCCCTGGAAACTGGGTCATTGGGTTTACCAAGTTTTCAAGTTTGGAATTGTCCAATATGTATGTTATTTGACTACTATTTGTTACATTGCGTCCATAATCTATCCCATCAACTCTTACTAATCAAATTTTTGACACTGCACACGATTTTTTTCAGATGATAATTAAAGCATTTACTGCTATATTAGCCGTTATCCTTGAAGCTCTTCATGTCTATTGTGAAGGAGACTTCAAGTGGAACTGTGGGTGAGAAATAACTAAGCACTTGTTATGTACAAATGTAGATTTTTAATGGTATTTCCTCTGTAAAATTTATAAAGTAGGGAAATGTTTATTTCCTGCCAAATTTCTATATCTGATTTGTTTTTAAAACCATACAAGTATATTTTTGTATACTGTAGTATTTATGCTCATCATTAAATATTTTATTATTTGGATTTTGTTTTCCAAATTCAAAAGTCCGTTAATGAATTCATGTTGTAGCATATGTGCCGCTAGAAGGATCAATATAATCTTACTTCACCCACATTTTCTGTTTTTTAGGTACCCTTATATGGCCGTGGTTATAAATTTCAGCCAATCATGGGCATTATATTGCTTAGTGCAGTTTTACACTATTACAAAGGACGAATTGTCTCATATCAAGCCGCTATACAAGTTCTTAACATTCAAGTCAATTGTTTTTTTGACTTGGTGGCAAGGTGTGGCCATTGCACTTCTCTATAGTCTTGACTTGCTTAAGAGCCCAGTTGCTCAATCCTTGCAGTTTAAATCAAGTATTCAAGACTTCATCATTTGTATTGAGGTAAACTCTTTTTTAGATATAATTCTGTTGCTATTGCTTAGCACAACTAATGGTGGCTAATTCAAAGGGGGCGGTTCCCATGACATTGCTTAGTAATGTCATGGGATGACCCAGCGGCCGTACGATGCTCCGTTCGTAAAGGTGACGGTTCTTACCCCTCCTAACCCCCGGTAAACCCCTCACCCCACACCGCCCCAAACCCACCGCCCCACCCCCTTCAATTGCATCCCCCAAGTTTAATTGACTTTGGAGTCAAAATTTTGACTCCAAAGTCAATTAAACTTGAGGGATGCAATTGAAGGGGGTGGGGCGTTTACCGGGGGGTTAGGAGGGGTAAGAATAGTCAATTTTACAAACGGAGCATCGTACGGCCACCGGGTCATCCCATGACATTGCTTAGCAATGCCAAGGGAGCCGGAGTGAATTCAAAAATACTGTTTTCTGGCTGTGAGCTTGGTACTAAGACTTCTTTGCATAGCTAATTATCTTGGGTAAATACTCTTTTCCCGTGCGCAGCTGTTAAATGCTTCATACTCTTACTTTCCCAAGGGCAAAACAATCTTATTTTGACAATTGCTTTAAGCCAAATTTTAAAATATCTCGAGACTTTGGAATACAAAGTATCTAATGTACAGTTCCTTAACATATTGTTTAAATTTTCAGAATGATTGAAATTTAGTCAATTTGAACACATCAAAATTCAAAACAACAAATTCTTTTTATACATTGATAGGGATGAAATAAGAATTTCTTCTACTTTTATACAATAACCTTTATACGTTCCAATTCATGTGATTGATTTGGTAATTTAAGTTTAACATTTCATGCACAATTCATCCAGCACAGATGGGGATTGCTTCAACGGTTCACCTTTATGTTTTTCCTGCTAAACCATACGAACTGATGGCCGAGTACTTCCCTGGAGCTATTTCAGTTCTTGGAGACTATGTATCTGCAGAATGCCCCATAGATCCTGATGAAGTTAGAGACAGCGAGCGCCCCACTAAACTGCGCCTTCCTCAACCCAATACTGATGCCAGGAGTGGAATCAATATCAAAGAGAGTGTCCGGGATGTTGTTCTTGGTGGAGGCGAATATGTAAGTTCATTATCTACCCAAAAAAATGTTGGGTTTTTTCAAAACCACGAATCCGAACTAACATTAACACTAGCTAATTATCTTTGAACCAGATAGTGAATGATGTGAGATTCACAGTGACACATGCAGTGGAGCCAGTGGAGAAGGGAATCACAAGATTTAACGAGAAACTACACGAGCTATCCCAAAACATGAAGCGGCGCAACAAGGAAGAGAGGAGAACCAAGGATGACAGTTGCATTGCAACATCATCATCTCCTACACGGAGGAGAGTCATACGTGGGATTGATGATCCCCTTCTGAATGGGAGTGGCAGTGAAAGCTCGGCATCTGGAAGAGGAGGGGGGAGGAGGAGGAAGATGAAAGAGGGTCGCAAAGCGGGGTACACCAGTGAAAGTGGCTTGGAAAGTAGCAGTACTGAGAGTAGGTACAGTGATTTCCTTGTCCGGGGCAATAGGTGGGTAACTAAGGACTGATAAAGCTGAGGATGGCCATGGTTCTTTGGGTGTTAAGAACCCAAAACAGCATGATGTTGAGCTTTTCCACTAGCATTACCCAATCCCTTTTCATTCAATACAGGTTCCAGCTGCTCTCTAACCCCTCCCAGTGTTATTAAATCCGGACCGGACCCGGTGGTCGAACCAGCCGATCGCGAACCGAACGCGTAACTGGTCAGGTCCAACCCCCCAAAACCTGTAAAAACCCAGGAAAATTAGGACCCGGCCTCCTCGCCGGTTCGACGTCCGGTCCGGGGTTAAAATCATTGACCCCTCCTGGAGCCGAAATTCTTCCATTTTTACCTTGGAAATTATGTACATCCTTCAACTGTTGTCTCCTTTACCCAAGAGGCTCTGACGGCAAGGACGTATTTGGAAGCTGCGAATTTTCTTTTTGCTCGTTAGAAAATTCAAAATCCATAATAGTCTGTCCTTTATTTATTTTTCTATTTGACTTTGAGTACGATTTTTTATACTCCCTTCGTTCCAAAATAATTGTTTCATTCCACTATTTACATGTCCAACTTTTTCTTTTTCTTTACTTATTTTTATTAATTATTTGTTAAAATAATATAATTATGTCACTTCTTGTTTTACACTCCCTCCGTCCTAGAAAACCTTTCACCTTTCTTTTTTCATCCGTCCCAAAAAACACTTCTCATTTCTATTAAAAAGTCACTTTTACCCCCTTACTTTTTCATACCCTACCTATCACATCATATCTTTTTACTAATAATCTATCTATCAAATCATATTTTTACTCATCACATTAAAGGACATTTTTGGAAATTCAATATCAAAATACATTCCCCTTAAATCCCTCTTCAAAATCAAAACTCCCATATTTTCCGGGACAGAGGGAGTACAAAATTCATTGAACTCTGTAATTTTTTACGGAGTAATATATAAATTTTATTTTAAAATTTTGTACCATTATTTTTTTTTTTGAAACAATTTTTTTGTACCATTATTTAAATAAATTATATTGAAAATAAATTTAATCAAGCCTTGTTATCTGTAAAGAGTCATATTTTTGGACAACAATAGTAAGAGCACTGGAAATACATATAATGTCCATCTCCGTGATGAGGTGTTTAACGCCTTCCCGAGTTCCCGACGTTAAACACCGCCCCTACCCAACTAGTGTTATAACCGTTGTATTAAACGTCTGACGCATCACAAATGAGGAAGAAGGTGGCGGTCCCACCTTCCGCCAACGGTCTAAATTATGGCCGTTGCCAATTTTAAATTTTTTATTTTCAACTATAAATACCTTCTCATTTTACATATTCTCATCTTCATATGACGAAGAGAGAAAAACATTAATGTTTTGTGCTTTCTCAACGGGATGTTACTAGTGGTGGCAACAACAACAAGAGGAAGCGGAGTCTTCCAGGCGTTCAACCCGACGTGAGCATTTATACCATAACTACTGGGCAGCTGCGCACGAAACACTACTCAACGACTACTTTAATACTTCGTGTGTTTACACGTTGGAGGATTTTAGTAACATTTTTGAATGGGCCGTTCTTTATTTTAAGAATACTACACGATATTGAAACACGAGATGCATTGGTTCACCCAACGATTTGATGCGAGATGCGGGCGCAGTTTTAGCAGCGTCCAAAAGTGCACTGTCGCACTTTGTCAAATGACATACAAAACCGCTAGTGATATGTTTGAAGATGTTGGCTCGAAACACCGGGTCATGTGTATGGATACGCAATATGTTATTTTAAAAGATTTTGTTTGAGTACTATTTTTAAACAATATATATACTCCCTCCGTCCCCCAGTTTTTGTCCACTTTTGACTTTTGAAACTGTTCATCTAAGCACTTTGACTCATCAAATTCTCTCAATGTGTAAGCCTAAATATAGTCATGTGTGATCTTGTTTGATTTGTCTTAACATATAGATTATTAATATATAATTTTTATAATTTTTTAATATACAAATTACAAGATAAAATAGATTAAAGAAGTGCATTGGATGGTGTGTAAAAATGAAAGTGAACAAATACTTTGGGACGGAGGGAGTTATTAACACCTACTTTTCATATACTACGTAACTGGTATAACAAGAAATTTCATCGCATTAATTATGAGAATCATTTCCTGGCCTCTTGCGTCTCGGAATTTCTCTGCAGTCTCCGCCAAACATATCAAAATCTTGGGATTTCAGTGGACAAAAATGTACTATGGAGAAAGAGTATTACAAAAGCAACCCTCTTGGAGAAAAAAATACAAACGAAAAAAGACAACAATGGAGTCTAAGTTTTGAACTATTCCATGGACATCCACTCTAAAAGCATGCACCATTCACGAGTGCTGCTTGATACGTTGTATTACACAATGAATGAAAAAGGAATAGGGAGTAATAAATTTTCCATTTTCTTCATGTTTTTCTAGTTATTCCCATCTTCTTCAATCTTAGTTTACTTCCCAAATAATGACTCTAAAACATTTATTATAATTATTATTAAGTTCACAACTATAGTTTATATCTCAATTCTTCAATTTTTATTTTATCACATGTCACTATTTTTGTGATTCACACTTAGGGTATATACGAATCGAATCAAATATCTAGATATTCGATTCGTATTCGTTTAAAATAATGACACATATTCGAATTCGTATTCGTTTATAATTCGAATTTTAAGAGATATTGGTATTCGATTTGATAACATATTCGATGTATACGAATTCATAGTTGAATATTCCAATTCGAAAACAATAAAAGATTTTTAAAGACATTTTCTAGATATAGTAAATTATTTTTTTATAAACTACGAGTAATATAAATTGAAAAATTCATCATAACACATCCAAACTACTACCTAAATTGCTACGAATTTTGGGAGCAACATGTCCCAAAAATTAGAACAAAAGAGTCTCATATTCGAATAAAATTTTCCAAACCTCCAAAGATAACATGTAATAGAAACAAAAACTCTAGAGTCTCGAAGCTTGGCTAAAGAAGTGAAGATCGACGATAGATGAGGCGACATGCAGAACTCTGGAGTCTTGAGAAAAATAATACGATCAAGATTTTTTTAAATAGAATAAGATTAGGGTTTGTTTGGGAGAAGCTTATGCATTTAATCCAACAAATGCAAATAACTAGGGTGCATTAGACTATTAGGATTTATTTATTTATTTATACTATTCGAATAATTTGAAATATAAACGAATCGGATCTCTTTATTTTCGAATTCGATTATAATTCGAATCGAATATTTGATTCGTATTCAGATTCAAATTCGATTAAGGCGAACACGAACCATGTTTTTCGAATACGAATCACAAATCGAGCTATTTATATTTGGTTTGTATGCACCCCTAATCACACCGATTATTATATTTTTTCTATTTTTAATATAAATAATACGGAGTACAATTTTACTGGGAAAATTGTTTTTTAAGTAATCTACATGAGACTAATCAATGTTCTTAAAATTAGAGATATTTTGTTAATCTAAATTATATTGATTTGGAAATATTAATATTTTAAACTAAAAAATAATAATTATACTACTCCATCTGTCTAAATCTCATGTACGTGATTTACGTGGTAAAATTTTGTTCACTTTCTTTACCTATAGTAATAATAATAATAATTAATGTTGATAATAATAATGTTAATAATAATTATAACAACAATAACAATAAGAATTATAATAAGAGTAAAATGTAAAATACGACACATAAATAAATTTTTGAAGTTCTTCCCGTTTTTTCCAATTTATTTCAATTTTTTTTCAGTTTCCTCTAATTTCTTACAGTTTCTTCTAGTTTCTTCCAACATCTAACTTTTTTCCGCTAAAGGCTCTAGGTACACAACTTACCTCTTAATGATGTTGCAGTTTTGTTCCTTTTGTAATACTCCCTCTCTCCTTAATATAAGTACTACAAGGGAGTATAAATTAATTATTTTTCTTGACAAAAGTGTCTTATTTATACTCCTTTTCGTTCTTTTTTCTTGGGGAATTTATCTAAATATGACTAAAACATAATGAGTTTTTTAATATAGGATCATATGTTTTTATTTCCAATGTTGGACCATTGATCATTATCCATTAGTCATTATTCAAGTAAATGTCCATTCATTAGTCATTATTCAAGTAAATGTCCATTATCACTAGACATTATTCTTTCCAATAGACATTATTAATTACTATTTAAGGAATAAAAAAGTTTAAGTCCTACAATGAAAAATGACTTATATTTTAGTCCTATTTAATGCAAATTTTACTTTTTTCTTCTCCTTTTGAATAACATGTATAATTCCATTCTATTAGAAATTACTTTCTTCCCAAGTTGGTATATCAATACAAAATATGAAGTACAAATTACATTATTCAAAATAACATTAAAAGTTCTACAAAATAAAATGTGACAAGAATATTTTATTTTATCAAATGATTAATGAAAAATGTAAACAAATATAAGGTATCAAGATACCGTAGTAGTAACTAGGAGAAAAAAATGAATGGATGGAGTATAAAGATTATTATAGAATTATTAATAAATAAAATCTATATATTTAAAAATTACTTCAAAAGTTCTATCAAACAATAGTGACAAACTATTTTATTTTACAAAATAATAAATGAAAATAGGTACAAAAAATGAATATAATTTGACCTTGCGAATACTAAAGTTGAATATAATTATGAAACGGAGAGAGTAGTGTTAACTCTAACCCCTAATTTTCAAACTTCCTATTTTGAGTTGTGTCATTGTTGATATAAAGTAAAATGTAGATCTTTTCACATATTTTTAATAAATTTAGAGTTGAATTTCTTTCTTTTTAGAAGACCCACTAGAAATAAACATTTTTTTTATTAAATAAAATGAGCATGGATCTAGAAAATACGAATTTGCCTATGGTATTTTCGTCTACCTACTCTTAATTTTCAATCTCATTATTTTGGACTCAAAGAGTTTAATCGACAGATTCCTCGTACTCTAACGTACATCTAAAATTAAGAAAAGGAACAAAATATCTTAATGCATAACTGGAATTAGGGGTGGGCACGGATCGGAACGGTCCGGTTTTAGGTTGTCCCACGTCTTGTCCCGTTATATATAAACGGTCCGGAACGGTTCAGATTACAATCTTATCCCGGTTTGTCCCATAAAATTCGGGATCGGAATAAAACGGGACGGATTCGGGTCGTCCTACTTTGTCCTAATCGCAAATATAAGAAGGGGAAGAGGGTGAAATTTCATTCAAAAAAAAGAAACATCTAGTCATCCAACAAAAAACAATGAGCGGAACGGGTCCAAATAAATTTCAAGCTCATGAAGTTAATTTAATTACATAACTAATTAATTAAAGAATGAGTTTATTTGGATTTTGGACTAGAATTAGTATTATATATTAGTAGAGTAGATGAAACGGGACAAACGGGACGGATCGGTATAAATTTAAGCTGTCCTGCTCATGCCCCATTTGATATTGGGACGGAACGGGTTCGGGACCAAAAAAACGTGTCCCAATATAT